TTGACACAAAAATTAAATCAGAAACCTGTTAGATGCACAAGGAAACGAAGTGACATAAAATGTTGTTTGGAATCTGGATAATACACTCAAATAATAAGGATTTAAAAAAAAAATTGTTTTTGTCTTGCAGAGTGGGTTGATTTTGGACTTGAAAGATGCGCATATTGATAATATGAATAAGTCCACGTGAATAACGAGTTGTAACGGTTTCATGGTAATAATTGGAGAGAGAGAAGTGTTATATTACTTATTAATCATATAATTTATTATTTAACACCATATAAAATAAGATAAAGAAATTAACATTCTAATAATATGAAATTCCGATTTTGTTCTTACTGTACTTATGGTAAGTGATTCCATAACAAAAATTATTTCATTTCCATGATTATTTTTTTTAATATATTTTCTCTCTCAATTTTTTTTATGTCTATAAAAATTGATCAAAGATAATATAATACAAACACATGACTAGGTAACTAAAATGTGTTCATTAGATAGTGACCTATGTTATCATAATAATTAATTATGATATTGAATAGTTAACTATGCAATTTTATATAAACAATTGACTATATAAACATATTTTTTCGGATGTATAATTAACTATTAAGAAAATAGTTTTTAGATAAATAGTTACCTATACAACTTAAATAGTTAAATACTTTTCTGAAAACTGTTTTTTTAATAGTTAATTATACATCCAAAAACACTATTTATATAAATAGTTAACTATGCAACTTAAATAGTTAGCTATGCAACCAACTATTTTTGAATGTATAAACTATTAAGAACATTACAATATAGTCTACTATTTTCAGAACAATGTTAACGTACAATAATTTATTTATTTTTAAACAAGTGACTAAATTACAAGAATTTAGAAATAATATATTGTGTGTATGTTTGAATCATTCTTCACTCTTTCCATAATGTCAGTTTTTTTCTTAAAAAATATTTATGGAGAAAGAGAACAATTAATAATTACAGGAGTAAAATACACAACTTTTATTTTCTCTTTCCTATAAACCTAAATTTAATTATGCACACGTTTTTCTCTTAATTATATACCATAAATATAATATTAACCTAATTAACCCTTTTTCATCTTTTGAATGTTTTCAAGAAGCGAATTTTCAAGTTAAAAGAACTTAGACCGATCAAAATTGTCTATTAGATTTGTTGAACCGGATTTTTACATTAAACCGGGTCACTGGTTTTTGGCTTTTTTCATCGGGTTTACCGATCCCACTTAAATCCGGTTTTTGGATCAGAAGAACGAATCCCGGTCGGACCAGTCCCACCGGCCGATCTGGTCCGGTTTTCAAAACATTGTATGTGTCTTTGTCTTCTATTTTTATTAAAAAAATGAATTTCGGAAAAGACCACTATTTTATAAAGTATTTGGAAAAAAAATTTGTGAAAAATTACAAGTGGTGGTTCTTTTTTTTTGGTCTTTAAAAAGTTTCATTTTCTTAACGTAATTTTAATCTTTTTCATGAGCTAAATTTTGAAAAATGGGGTTTAGGGTCGAAAAACTATTTTTCTTTTTTTAGTAAAAAATTTTCTTCTTTAGAAAAAACTATTAATTCAATTTTTGGTGGACATTTTTTCATCTCTTTAAACTTATTAATTCAACTTGACGGCCGACAAAAAACAAAAAAAAAATTCAATTTGACGTACTTTTTTTTTTTTTTCCATTTCCTACATTATCTTTTGCCAGCTCATAACCTTCCATTTAAAATTAGAAATGACAATTTAACCATCTTTTAAAACGCCAAAAAAACCATCTTTTAAAAAGTTTGTTTTTTCTTTTTTTCCCGGTCTTTTTCTTACAAAATATATGTTCATTGTCTGTTTCGTTTGGTATGCACTTCTAACCATTTTCTAACTAACCGAAGTTTCCTCCCTCGTGAAGCACGAGTTAATTCCGCAACCTCACAAATTAAAGAGAAAGAAAAAAATGGTTAAAGTTTGAGATAAGTGAATACAAAAATAAATAATATCAGTATTCCAGAGTATTTTATAAATATACCCGAAGATCCCAAACATCAAGCCAAGTTCATTCAACCTCTTCACTACTCACACTTAAAGGTTATACGTCTCTCTTTCCATATTTCTCCCTTTTTTTATTCCACAAACCGTTACTTTAAACGTTTAATC